GACTTGATTTTTTTTATCCTCACACTAATATGAAAATTTGCCAAGTGTAAATGTCTAGTTTGGAAATCAGTCCATTGTCTTGCAGGTTCCGGCATTGCTAATGAGAAGTCTGCTGCCATTTTGATTCTTGATCCTTTCTTTGTATATCACCTATTTTGCCTCTCTGAGACTTTCTGGTTCTTATCTCTAATCCCTTGATTTCTGAAATCTCATGATGGTTTACCCTACTCAGGGTGTTGGTTTAATTCATTATTTTGGATACTCCACGGCCCTTTCAAATGGAAACTAATTTATTTCAAGTCACATAATTTTGCTGGTAATATTTCTTCAATAATTTCCTATCTTCTGCTTTCTCTTTTTGGAATTACTGTTAATTGGATATTAGAATCTACCATCTGTGAGATGCTCTCAGCTTGTTCATTCCTTCTAGTGATTTTAAATTTCTGCCATTTTATATATATATATATTTATTTATTTATTTATTTATTTTTGGCTGTGTTGGGTCTTTATTTCTGTGCGAGGGCTTTCTCTAGTTGCGGCGAGCGGGGGCCACTCTTCATCGCGGTGCGCGGGCCTCTCACTGTCGCGGCCTCTCTTGTTGCGGAGCACAGGCTCCAGACGCGCAGGCTCAGTAGTGTGGCTCAGGGGCCTAGTTGCTCCGTGGCATGTGGGACCTTCCCAGACCAGGGCTCGAACCCGTGTCCCCTGCATTGGCAGGCAGATTCTCAACCACTGTGCCACCAGGGAAGCCCTGCCATTATATTTTTAATTTCCAAATCTCCTTTTAAAAGTTCCTTCTTTTTTTATACCATTTTTTTTTTTAATGAATGCAATATTGCCTTTCTACTACTGAGGATGATAATTTTTAAAATTCCATCTGTTCCTTCCAAGGTTCTTTTAATTAAGAGTTAGTTTCTTCCTACCCCACTGTTTGTTCCCAAAGATTCCATCAGGCGTCCATTCACATTTAGGAATGAGACATGAAAACGTAATGGCTCTGTGTGAGGGATGGTTCTAATTGACTGGTGAGTTCATTGTGCCAGTTTTGATTTTCACCTCCCACCTCTTTTCTGGAGTAATGGTACCTCTGATTCCTGACCTCTTACATGATTCAGAAGCCTAAATTAGCTTGCCTCTTGCTGAAGAGAAAACCATTTTCAATATCCTGCTGGTCACTGTGATTTTTCTGATTCAAAATGAAGATATTAGTGTTAGGAACATTTATGTTCCAAATAACATCACATCAGTCATCACAAAGTGAAACTGCAGTATTTAACAGGAATAATAGTCAGAACATAACTAATGGTTGA